ACTTTGGCCCATTAAAAGCCCACCTAACTGCACTGAGTTTGGTTGTACAAGATCCACTTGTAAATTGCTTCTCGTTCCATGTAAACCGTATACAACTTGTAGTTGGCTTATAAACAGTTATATTGTCAGTTGTTGTCGTTATAACTGACATTATCTCCAGTGTTTCGTTGCATAGATGGATGCTGCAGTTTGGCTCGGTGTTGGTGGAATCGAGGATACTACCACACACGAGAACCGAGTGGCCACGAGGAAAAGCTGCAAATATGTACATTTCGTGTAGAGGCCAATTGTGAACTCGGAACAAGCGAGTCCCGAGTCCACAATTAGACATGTTCACGAGCCAGGTCGGGCCGGGTTTGGATTGGGCTTTTGCTTTTTATTAATAAGATTTTTTAGGCCCAAGCCCAAGCCCGACTTGACCAATGGGCTTATAATTTGGGCTCGAGTCCAGCCTTCATAAAAAGCCGAAAGCTTGACAAGGCTTGTACAAAGTTGAGAAATGCATGATTTGTACAAACTACAGACTACTGAGTAATAGAAGCTGAAATGCATGATTTGTACAAACTACAGACTACTAAGTAATAGAAGTTGAAATGCATGATTTGTACAAAGTTGAGAAATGCAAGACTTATCGCTGGAGAGAGGGGCGATTGTTCACTGATGACGCGGCTAGCACCGGTGCCTGAGTTTTCCGGTGCTTGAGTTCATTGGTTCTTAAGAATATGCAATAGTAAGTGAGAATGAGAACTGGTGGAGAGAGAGAGAGAGAGGACTCACCATCAGAGAGAGAGAGAGAGAGGATCGGTGCCAGAGCTCGCCTGTCACCTCTGGGACTGAGAATGGTGGCTGCCTGTCTAGGTTCGTGCCGATTCTTGAGAGTGAGGAGAGAAGATAGAAGATGAAAAGAGGGAATAGGAAAGGGTTATCCAGCTAGGGTTTAGAAGAAGCTACAAATGTTGGGTCGGGCCAAGCTTTTGTGACAAATCCCGAGCCCAACCCGTAAAATAGTTGGGCTTGGGCTTTTAGGCCCGAGGTCAAGCCCACGGACTAAAATCCATGCGCAAGCCCATCCGAGGGTCGGGTTGGGTTAGGCCGGCCCGTCGAGCTACCCGCCCCATGACTTCTTTTATACCAAAGGTAACTACGTATCATGGCTCTTCAGAGTATAGAGGGATTTCTATTATTTCCTCTCTTGTTTACTTCTTTATGTTCGGCACTTTTTACTACACTTCCATTCCATTCATTTTGATATACAAATATGTGAAGTGTAAAATCTTGTATTTAGTATTATTTTGTATGCATTTGTATTGTATATATTTATATTTGTACTCCTTTCAAACTGAATCTTAGGCCTCATTTGATTTTTGGTAAGTTATTTACCCAAGTAAGTGTTTCCTAAGAAAGATTTACCCGAGTAAATGCATTTACCCATGTTTTTTTATTTCTCATGTAAATAATACAATGACCATTTTAGCCATAAAATCCATTACTAAAAAGGGCATTTTTATTTCATTCAAGTATTGGCAACTTTCTCCCTAAGTGAAAGTTATTTACCCATCTAGGAGAGGTATCACTTACCCGATTAAGTGTACTCAGGAAAATAAACTTCCCCTGATCCCCATATAAATTTGAAAAAAGAATATGGGTTTCATGGTTAATGGGAATCAAAATCCCATTGACCAACTTTCCCCCCTCTTAAAATCTAAAAAAGAACGTTAGAAAAAAGTATCAGGAAAATCGAAAATGTAAGTGATCCAATTTGTCTATTAGGCTCCATTTAATTTGTGGGATGGGGATGAGAAAAAGGGAATATTCCCTTTTCTCTTATTTGGTTTGAGGGAAATAGAAGGATAGGAAGAAAAATGTGAGATGTGAGATTCCAAAATCGTGGATTTGGGTCACAGCAAAACCATGCGACCCTGGTGGAAAAATTTGAGAAAGAGGAGGAAGTGAGGAACGACTTGAGTTGGTTCGATGACAGTGACGTTAGAACCCAGAAGCAGGAGCTGGAGGGGTTGCACTCCCCTTCCCCGTTCGAACCCAGAAGCAAGAGGAGGTTCAAGTGATGTTCTCTACCGACGTCCTAGGTGGTGCTTCAATTCCCCTTCCCCGTTCGTCATTCGTCGTTCACCGCAACAGGAGCTAGAAGGGTCGCACTCCCCTTCCCCATTCGTCGTCGACAAGCGGTGCTTCGATTCCCTAATTATGGTTCCGAGGTGATGTTCTTTGCCGACGCCCCTCTAAGTGTGAGGATCTTTCATTTCAACAGAGAAGTGATACTGAAATCCAGAGCTAACAAATGGGTCGACAACAGATTAACAATCAAGGCTGAGATTTTGGGGAAACAAAGTAACGATGGCTAGAAACTCCAAAGTGATAATAACTAGAACCCCAATAGGAAGAAAGCTCCCTCTACGCCCAGTTATGGCGTTCTCTACCATTTCGAACTCCCAAGTTATAGAAACCACCAATCAGATGGTTGAGATTTCATTCTTCCAGTCTCTCTGCGCCTAGCTATGGCATTCGGTCACACGAGCAAGAAATCTCCCTCCTTCCAACGTCGATCCGTACTACTTCGGAAACGCGATTCAGAGCATTCCAACGGTCACTTCTACTAGAGAGATACTTTCGGGGGATCTGCAGGCGTGCGTGCTTCTACTACACGGAAATGTAAGCGTGCACTGTTCGAAGGTAAGACATGATGAATAGTATTTTCTCATTATTTTTCCATATATAAAACCAAACAATAGAAATACAAATTTTTACATTTTTCCATCCTATCCCATCTTTTCCCATTCCTCCCAAATCTTCCCCCAAACCAAACGAAACCTTAAGGTATGCACTTAGACCTGTTTGGGAAGGTTAAATTGAAGATCCAGCTAAACCGGTTCAGCATGTTAAAGTGTTAACGGACAACACTACAAATGACTGAGTGACAAATTGACAATACAACAGTCTACTTGACTTTGAGTTCGGCTTCAGTCCAGGCCGGAGGGCACCGTTCGCGCAATTGGAGGACGTGCCACGCATCCTCTAATTCGTGTAAACCGTTGAAGCATGCTTCACGCAGTTAGTCAAGCAAAACTCATTCTCTCCTCTCCTCTCCCTTGACAGCGGCGGTGAACCAGCGGTGGATTCTCTCCTATCTCAGACCTCCACCTCTAGCCTCTCATCCTCTCTTTTATCTTCCCCTCCCTTTTCCTCTTCTTCCATTATCTGTTTCGTCACTGTCGAGATCTGGAACACTCCCCTGTTCAAGAGGAATCACAGCGGCGGCAGACCCACAACAACACATCGATTGGCTTTTATCCCACCATCAGGAGGCGGCGGCGGCAAGCAGTAAGCCCAGGCAAGCACTGAGGGTGCCTGGACTGAAGCCGAACTCATCAGGTATATCCAATGGCCGAATAGGAGTAGGAAAGTCTTGATAATCCGGTGGCAAGGCAAAGTAAGACCGAACGCTCCCATCAGCCAAGACTATTGTTCGCCTCTCGAGCATGTGAGAACCATAAGCTGGCAGCGGAGGACCGATGGTATCGGGTCCGAAAACGATAATGGAGCTCCAGTGGAAGGCCCCGCCGACGGAAAGCGACCCAGTCCGGACAGATGGATAGGATCGAGAGGGGACTTAGACGGGCCTGGTATGACGTCCTCCTTAGTAACTGATGAGGGTTTTGCTGATTTGGTATTGTCGGCGGCACCAGGATTGCGATCAGAGTTAGTAGTATTGCCAGATTCCCACCTGGATTTCCGGTTAGACGAGGATGAAGATGACTTGTGGGAGGAACCATTGGGGTTTTTTCCCGTCATCTTCTGGTTGCCTTTCATGCCGTGAGAACTATGGCACAGCACGCTCTATACGCGCACCGTTCGGCTTCAAGACAAAGCACAGCGGCTGAGGAGGAGGAGAGACGAAGCACAGCGGCTTCAAGATGAATCTTCACATTTTCTAATTAGGAAACCGCGTGGTCGAGAGAAGACAGGGAAAGAGACCTCGTTCCCTTATGGATGGCACGCTTCAGTCAAGTCACACGAAGCTAAAGACGCCGCGTTTTCCTTTGGCACGAACGGTGCGCGTATAAAGCGTGCCGGGACTGAAGATTTTTCACCAATGGCTTAGTTTATAGGCTTGCCATATGGAGTCACCTCGAAAAGTCAAAAGCTGATGTACTTCAGCCCTACCAAATAAGCACTAAATGACAGTTGATTTGGGCTCTCTGGATTTTTTCACTCAACATTGCTTATAGGTTGCAAGCATGGAATTCGGATTAATTGAACAGCTGTTCAACCAATGATGAAAAGCCACTTTGACCCTCCCAAATAAGCATTTAGGGCTTTCATAGGATGACTTCTGACATTACATGAGTGAAAAACTGAAAAGCCATTAGAGATGTTTCAACTAAAAATTCGACTTTCCTATAAAAATCATGTTAGGTTATGTGGTTCAATCAAAGGAGACTTGGTTGCGCGGTCTCCCTCTCCAACTCCAGTCCAGAAAGAACTTGAAAAGAAAAATTTCTGGACTACACGTGATATGAAGCCCATAAGACTATATTTGGTTTGAAGGAAAAGGTAGGAAAAGAAAAGTTTGAAAAATCTCCACAAACTATGTATATTTTTCTATTTTTCTCACACAGAGCATCACACACGGCTTACAGGCACATCCTACTGAGACCACATCTCAGCCCCACAACACATTCCCGCCGTGTATTTGAAACATCTCCCTATGATCATATTAGAACCCATGATGTCATCGAGAGGTGCTCTCAATACACTGGGGGAATGTGCTGTTGGGAACATCTCTTATGTATTATCATTTATGGAGATGTTCTCAGTGCACGGTGGGATTTGCATGTGAGATCGGTGTGAGGTGCGCTCTGTAAATAGCAGATCCCAATTCGTTGTAACAGTAAGTCCATTAAATCACAATTATTTATTTATTATTTTACATTAAACTACAATTTAAGCTATTTAATAACTTTCCCTGGTTCGACAACTTGTATTAAATGCAGCAGCTGGGGAAACCCACCCACCCCTCCGAAAACACCCCTAAGAAAAAAAAATCCGACTATTCCATCTCTCCTCTCTCTTCAAACAAAATGAAAACCCCCACTTCCCTTCTCTCAAAATGTCTGCCAACACTTCTACCACTGTTTCCGCCACCACCGGTGCCGGTACCCGTGGTGGTGGTGGTGGTGGTGGTGGAAGTCTCGGGTACTTCCTTCAGAACCTAAGCAACATTGGTCTTGGTTATGCTATCGCTATTGCTTTAGGGTTTCTTGTCCTCCTATCCACCGTCCTCCTCGCCTCCTACGTTTGCTGCCGATCCTCTCGCAATCGCTCCCGCTCTTCAGACCCGGAAAACCCCGGCTCTAACCCTGACTCTTCACACTCTAATGGCATCATCCTTCCCCGCATAATCTTTGTTGCAGAAGACGACGACGACGACAGCAGAGATGACGACAGCCTCGTCGTGGGGCTGAACCAGGCCGTTATCAATTCGTACCCTAAGTTCCCATTTTGCAAGTCAAAGGATCGAGGTGACTCCGTTTGTTCAATTTGCCTCTGCGATTACAAGGATGGCGAGATGCTGAGGATGATGCCAGACTGTCACCATTTCTTCCATCTTTGTTGCATTGATGCTTGGTTGAGGCTCAATGCTTCCTGCCCTGTCTGTCGCAATTCGCCGTTTCCGACCCCGCTGTCGACGCCGCTGTCGGAGCTTGTGCCGCTATCGCAATATCCGGGGAACCGGAGGAGGTGACCCTTTTTGTGCCCTGGGATGTATTGTTGTTCATCTTGTCTTCGAATGTCTGTTCATTGCATGTAAATTTTTTAGCAGTAGGTGCTTAAAGATTAAAAAGCTTCAATTTTCCTCCTTTCTAGTTTTTTTTTTCTTTTTTTTCTGGGGATTATGAAGATGTTCTTGTTGCTGATTTATGAAGATGCAGAGATGATGTTTTTGTTTTTCTTTTCTTGGGATTTGATTTTACTTCACTACAGATTGACTGAATTTCATGTTCTAATACCTACTTGAATGATCAGAAAGAAAGACTTCCAATACCTACTTGATGTCTTCCCTGCAACCTCTTTGCCATTAACATACACAGAATGGTAGTTACTCGCAGTTTGATGGGTCCAGCCTAAGAAATCTGAAGTCATCCGGGATCAGCACAATCGACTGATAACAACTATCAATTCAGTGTTTCTCTTTCAGCTGGGCTTGTAAAGCATCTTAGAGAGGCTACAACAACGGTGCATTGTGATGGGATTGAGTTAATTGGTTGATTGGCTTTAGATTATGAACTCTGGAGTCAAGGAGTGGTTTTGCTACAGACACCCAATTATTTCTAACACTAGCAGAGCTGTGGTATGCTTTGAAGGTTGTATACTCAATAGGCAGATTTCTCAGTGGCTCTTCAGTGTTGATTGCCAAAGAAACTAACGCCAAATATTAGAATTTTTTTCTTATTGATACCCAGAAATGATATCTTGCTCAAGCAAAAAGCTTAATCATTTTTTTCTGACAGAGTAAGAACCATTTTAACCTTCAACAAAAAAAAAAAAAAAGAGTAAGAATCATGTTAAAGATCTCAAACCTGGGAGAAACTTGGTGTAATACATTGCCAAGCTTGGGAAACATGGTTCTCAATGATGAATTGCTGGTTCCCTTGACTATGATATCTCGTTTAGCTCAACAAGATTACGTTATGCCAGCAAGAATGAGTTAATGATTTGAAAATCTAGGCCTGTTTAAGTTTAACTGCTGCTTTTTGCTTGAAAATTCATAAGCTAGATCATAGTGGTCAAGGCGCTAAGGTGAGGCTAGGAGATAGGGAACTGCTTTGTTGCACTTAGGTGTTGACGAGGTGATGTTTTTTAAATAAATAAAAAATCTGAATCTACCCTAATTCTTTAGGGCCAGTTTGGTTTGTGTATAGGGGCTGGAATTGGAATCGAAATGAGTTATTCTGATTCTAACTGTTTGGTTAAATGGAATCGGAATTTCATTCCTGTTCCCGGTGGAATGGTCTATCCCCCATTTCTCACCCCTTTCCTTGGGAATGAAATCCCATTTCAGCTGATTCCAGTTCCATTGGGATTCTTGAGTCTATTCCAATTCTGATTTCGATGGATTTTGATTCTGATTCCAATTTCCAAATGGACTCTTAATTTTCATAGCAATTGGCATTCATCTTTCATTAATTATTCACAATGATCCGGAATTCTGGATGAAGTAATGAAATATAGAACTTCTGCTCAGTGTGAGAAGAGTGCAAATGCAAATGATTTGTCATGAATATTTGCATATGCACACTTCCCAAAGGGAGGCTTCATATCAAAACATATAAAATCAACATTAATACCCACAGGAGAAGGGGTGGAAGAAGGAAGAATAAAGGACATTTTATACAAAAACAATTGGGTCCTTGGGAGAGATGAGCCATCATCGGTGCCTTGTCACCTAGTTGTTGCCTTGCAATGAACCAAAATTGAGTGGTCGATGGACTACACCGTAGCGACTTGTTTCAGTTGATGGCACGCACATAATCACCTGCTTGAATGATCCCCTGGCTTTCCGCTATTCTGATCATCTTCCACCATTCCCTGCCCCCTCGCCAACCTCCCATCCAGTCAAATGGATGGTCTGATATGTTGAACTCTTGGGTTTGAACGACAATAATATGTTGACCGGAGGCAAACAAATTCAATGTTTAGAAACAAGGGAACAGAGATTAATTTTTTTCAGCATTAAAAAGCTTTCTATAATCGATAGACGACGAGACGAGAGGTCTCTGATGGTAACGTAATGTTACTTCATATTGTTTCCATGGATGATGAAATGGGCCCCAAGTGTTTGCTGGTTTGCCAATGAGACTATATTCCATAAATCGAATAGACCTAACCCTAATAAATAAAACCCTATAGACCTCCATCAAACAGTCATTGGATGCTTGTACTGTTTGCTCGCATGGCGTCTGTTGGACAAAAAAAAAATCATTAATGTATTAAAATAACTGAATTAAATAGAACGAAGTCAATGCATTGGAGGATGACCCTAGCTACTTGGTTGTAGCCTTGGTAAGCGGTTTTGGGCACAAAGAGGGTTTTCCATTGGAGAGGTAGATGTCGATTTATGTGTGGTTCAGGCTTACTGTTTCTACTTTCTCCTGTACCGGAGGAGAAGAAGCAAAATAAAAGATTGAGGCCTGGTTTTGTGCTGGGTCATGATGGGCTGATGGCGTGGGGCTGACCATTCTTGAATAACTAAAATTAATTAATTTATCTAATGCATGTCCATCGATGATATCTTTCTCCTTATTCAAGGAGTAAGGAGCAGAGTCATCAGACTGAGCAGTAGAGCACTACCGCCTATTAGTCTATTACATTCACACCCTTTATTATTTGTGCATGATTGCTTTTTATTTTATAGTGTGAAAGCAAATCATTTGGATTACCAAAAATAAAAAAAGAAAGCATATCATTTGGTAAATATTAAAATTTGAGAAACTCTTGGGACAATTCATTAATTTCGAGTTCTGTCTACAAGAACTTTATCCACGCCTACCCACAATACACTACCCCTATGAATTGGGAATATCTCTCCCTGCATAATGTTATGTAGAAGATGAAATATTCTTCATGTGTGGCTGCGATAAACATGGACAGGAGATCCAAACTCTCTTTTTTAGTATTTTTTTTTTCTTTTTGATGCCAGACATCACCTTTTTTAGTTAGAATTTGCTCAAAATACATCAACTGATGAAAAAACACTAAGAAAGTGAATGGGTATGAAGGCGATGTACGTATGAAAGAACAAAATGGGATAGACTGTGGCAATAGAAATCTTAGGCAAAGTACTTTCTAAATGATAGTCTCCTTGAAAGTAATTGTGTTTTTTGGGTAAAGAATTCTTGAAAATAAATTTAGGGCATCTTATTGGAGCTGGTGGAATAACTTTGTAAAAATCAAAGTTGAAATCATATTTATGTATTTCCATTGCAACACTTCTCATCGTTGTCATCATCATCATCATCCAAGCCTTATTCCAATTATATGGGCTCGACAATGTGAATCTTGTTTTGTCATTCCGCATTGTTCAATGCCATATCCATTAACATTAAATTAAGGGTACTTAAATCATTTCAAATTACTTCATCCCATATCTCTTTTGGACTACTCTTAACCCTTCTAGCCCATGATCACTTCTTAATTATGGGTGATTTTGGTAGTCTCAAGCACAAAACTTCAGCTCTTTTAGCTTTTTGTAAAAACTATTTGATGAGGAAGGAACATCTCATGTAGTAATGTATTGACCATCCACATTTGACAAAAAATGTAGTAATTCGGATTGAAAGAAACGAGTGTAGAGAGTTAAGTTTAAATTACCTCTTGATCATAACTGGTTAATTCTAAATCAACCCTCCACATCGCATCCAAAGCATCTCATTGTGCTATGTGTATGTTGCAAGGTAGCACGTATGCATATTCTCTACTCTATATTTCTAGAAAAAATCTATGCTGCCAAAATGAATTGATATTGGAAGGGATTTGACCAATCAAAACCCTCTAAATTTCCATATACTAGTTGATTGGTTACAAGTTTGTCCACTATCATGTCTTTTTTATATCATAGTCAAACCCATATTTCTAAGGTATATAAGCAAGCTCTTTCACGAGACAAAATCAGCTCCCCACAAGACTGCCCCCCACAACGTCCCACAGCACATCCCAGTCGTGTTTTGGGAATATCTCCTGATGATGGCATCATCATTCCTGGTATTATCATCGGGAGATGTTTCCAAAACACAGCAGGAATGTGCTGTGGGAAGTTGTGAGGACAGTCTTGTGGGGGGATATTTGAACTCCTCTTTCACAAAACCAAATGTGCAAGTATCAAGGTAAGGGGATGAGAAGAGAATTCGGTTCCTTTGTTAATTAGAATTGGGACTTTTACCTACGGATGAGAGAGATCAATATCACAATAATCTTATATCTCCACCGTTATTTATTTATTTTTTGATAAAAATTGAAAAAAAAAAGTTCATTGAGCATCCCACCAATGAAAACATATCAATCAAAACCCTTTTCATATTGTAAGAACTTTCAAAAGAATGGATGTATATGATGACTATTGATGAGATTTAGGTATATATATATTTTATATGAAGAAGTGGATATAAGGGTCTCAGAGGTGGGAACAGAGCAAGGTGTACATAAGGCTGTGTTTGGTTTTAATGCAAATAAATTTGCACTGATGCAAAACTATGGCAGTGCAAATGGTTTGACTGTAAATTTGACCTGTTTTTGTTTCAAATTTTAGCTTATTTTGTTTGATTGCAATAAAAGTGATGTAAACTAAGAATAAAGTAAAATCCAAAATAAAATTAAATGAAAATTTCTCATTTTCATCATTTGCACTCCCATGCATTTGTATTAGTGCAAATAAAATTGCATTGCAACCAAACACAGCCTAAAGGACTTCATTCAAGGAGCAAAAAAGTAAATTTTGACTTTTTTTTCCCACAACACTAATTAGACAAATCTATCTTAGGACTATTTTAGAACTCAAAAGAAATCCTTGAAAAATGTTGTATCAATTGATAAGAGGAATGAGTAAACTGTTGTAACAAATTATGCGATATACTTCTAATGCCAATAAATATGAATCCGTTCGTTTTTTTTTTTCTTTTGGTAAAACGTTTTCATCTATTAAATCTCATGGAGGAAAGCACTTCCCACAAACCTAACTAGGAAAACTATGGATCGGATGGGAAGAGATGGGATAAGGTTAGGTTGGCTTCGGCCTACCTAAGGGTTAGGCCTGAGGCTAGCCTAAAAATAAATAAAAATCCCAAACTTTTGGGCCAAAGCCGGTCTAAGGACTGAAAACTAAGCCCAATTTGTGCAAAATTATAGACTAACTTGGTCTACGCTCGGGTTAGGCCCACCCAAGTTACACCGCCAGCGAAAGATGATCTTATAGACATGGGAGAAACAAGTAACAATAGTTAGTGATGTTTTGGAGGAAGGAAGGTTCTTAGTTACTTTCAGAGAGAATCAAAG